TGGTATGATAAGAATAGGAGATAGAAATTGGCTAGGCAGCTAGGGAAAAGTAGCCAGTTTCTTTCTTGGCTAAAAGTCAACATGTCCTTGGGCCCTTTGACAAAGTCCTCTGTCCAAAGGGCCCAAAACATTAAAACTGTTTGGGAGCTCTTATCCAAAAAGGATTTTGGGGTTACCTCTTCAGAAGGGGGAATGTTACAATATCAATAGCCCCATGATTATGCTATGTTATTTTGATGCTTGCTCCCTGTTTCATACAATTTCTTACAAATTACTCCATTGCAAAAATTACTACCAATCAGGTCATGGTCAGTTATCAAACTTTGGACTCTCCTGAGATAGATGAGTTGGCTTCTAAAGCTTGTGATGACACTTCTCCATTTATAAAACAAAACAGGGGGAGATGTTGGGGAACCCTGCTGTTAAGGTTGGCTCCTTTCTCAGCAGGAGCTTCCTGTCTGACTTACCTAGAAAGTGCCTCCAAGCACGGATGCTTGGCCTCATTTGAAACATGACCTTTGGCATAGTTACCTGGAGTAAAAACTACCCCCAGGTTTTTTCTATATGATAATTAGGCATTTCCCCATAGTCGGATGATAGGATCCCCTGCCACATGTAAATAAAGCATACCATGAGCACCTATCAGCTGAAGCATTGGCTGCTGCCTCCACACTATATTTTCCCTGACCCCCACTGAATAAACGGAGCTGTTTCACTGAGTCTGGAGCTGTTTGTATCACTGAACCTGCCTCCCTGGAAGGGCTTTCTTCCATTAGTGCTCACCGGCCTTCCTGACCCTGTTCATCACTTCTGCTCCCTTTGCCCTCGTGGACCGATGTCCAATGACGCACGAGGGAAGGGAGAGATCCCACACCTCTCCTCTTCTGTTTTCAGAGCACAGAAGCAGCACCCTAAGTGTCACATTGTGGTTGGGCTCCCAGTCTGTGATTACATGTGGACAGCACTATCCAACCCCACAGAGGAACCTGAAACCAGCCTTGGCTGGTGAATTTACACCAAGGAAATTGACAGACACTACGTAAGAGCCTCTACTCCTGCAGCTGGTGTCAGGTACTTGCCAGTACATCCCTGGGTGTGAGTATTAAAATAAATTATCATAAGACTGACAATATTCCATGTCAAGACTTGCTACAAACATGGCAAGTCCTAGATGGAAAAAGCTAATGACTCAAATGCCCCTCTCAAGAGCAATCTCCTTCTCAAGTGACTTCTGGGAGCACATGCAGAGTAACCACTCAAGGAAGCAGCCACCAGCCTGGCCCATGACCTCAGGCCTAGTCTTCTCAAAGCCCTTCTCTGACACTATCTCTACCCAACACAGAAGAGGGTGATAGCAGAGCTTCTCAGGGTACAGTGTGGGGAGGACACAAGTTCCTTTCACCAGCCTGGGAAAAGCAGCCGTTCCCACATCACACCCTACCACACTCCCACAACCTGCCTGCTTCAAGTTTGAAGCCAGTTTTCAAGACTATCATGTTACATCGTCATGAAGAACTCTTAAAAACTGGGGGCAGGTGGGGAGGTGGCTGGAGAGATGGCTCAGAAATTAAGAGCATTGGCTGCTCTTGCAGAGGACCTGGGTTCAGTTCCTAGCACCTAGCTCACAGTTGTCCATAACTCCAGTTCCAAGGAATCTGACACCCTCTTCTGGCCTCCATAGGCACTACATGCATGTGGTGCACTTACATGCATGCAGGCAAAACACTCATATGTGTGTAAAGTTAAAAAAACCAAAAAAAACCCAAAAAACAAAAAACAAAAACCCCAAACCTTTGGGAGGGCCAACGAGAGGGCTCAGTGATAAGGGTACTTGCTGCCAAGCTTCATGACCTGAATTCAATCCCTGAGAACCACATGGTACAAGGAGAGAACCAATTTCTACAAATTGTCCTCTGACTTCCTATGCACATGGATACGCATATGTATGTGCATACAAACATTAATCAATCAGTTAACTAATTAGTATGCGTGTATGTAAAAAAAAAGCCCACCAAAATTGTATGAGAAAGCCAGGAAGATGGGTCACTAAGTAAAGACACTTGCTCTCAAGCATGAGGACCTGAGTTTGGTCCCTGGTTTCCATGTGCTGGAAGGAGAAAATCTCTCACAGGTTGTCCTCCGACCTCCACACTTGTACCATGGCACACGTGTGCATACACATGTGTGTGTGTACATACCCAAAATAAATAAAATGAAAAAACCTTTTTAACTGTGTGGGAGAGATGAGGCTGTTCTCTGTTCTTACAGATGGGAACACAGCCCTAGGGAGAGTGGCTGAACACAGAGGTTCAGTCCACTGTGAAGATGCAGCTGAAAGCCAGAAGCCGGGTGATCTGGGGAGCGTGTCCCGGGCCATTGTGTGCAGCCTCACAGGCCGCGCACTGCACAACTCAGGAGAGAATTCACTGCAGACAGGTTTGCCTAGACCCCTGAAGTTAGGAAACAAGGACTTGCGAGTTCTGCCAAAGAGGGGTCAAACCCCTGTGATCACTGGGGTGAATTCTTTTTTGGTATACTTACTTTCTACCCTTTATATTGTGGATAAGCTGGCTCCTGGATAACTATGAGGGCTCCCACCCCTTCCTGCTGGCATTTCAGGGAGGAAAGGGGACCCTGGTCCCCTCATATAAAGCTAGGAGCCTGGGACAGGCTTTTTTGCAACTTTGTTTGACTGAACTTTAACCACTTGTCTGAATTGAAACCCCAAGGGGAGGCTAGCAGAGAGGCCACATCCTCAGGAGCACCACCCTCAGCTGCCCAGAACACCCAAGGGTTCAACAGAGAAGAAAACAGCTGAGCTCTGGCTCAGGGAGACAAAAGGGAAAGGAGAGTTCCCTTGCTATACCAAAGGGGATTTGGTTTGAAAGGCTCAGTTTAAAATGTCCAATCCTCCCATCCTTCAGACACACCAGAATGTGCTGACAAGAGACAACTAATCCTTCCATTCTAAAAGTCAAACTCCTTCCCAGACTCAGAGAGACTTGCAGCAGCCCTGTAGGGGGCTCCGGCAGGCTGTCCTGTGGTCTGGGAGGACATTAGAAACTATGTTGGGGGCCTGCAGGCCTCCATACACCCAAGCTTCCCACTGAGCAGGCACCCTGGTTGGCTGGCTGGTCTGGCCCAACAGAGCTATATCCACTCAATCCTCAGAGGGTCAGCTCAGGGAAGGCATGGCGTCTCTCTACTCCCCACTGTGGACCCCACAGATACCGTGGCTCACTCAAACAAGAATTCTTTATGGGCTGTCCCCATCCTGGTCAGAACCAATGCTCAATAGCTGACCCCAGCTCTCAGCTCAGGAAATTGACTGTCCTGTAGAATGGGGAAGGCATCATGTATCACTCTTCCTGTCCTTGAACACCAGCTACCTGCTCCCCAATATAAAGACACACAAGGTGGCTTGTGGTACCACAGGCACACATGTGAAACTTTGGTCCCACTTGAACTTGTGTCAAGTACCATGTTTCCCTGACTCAAAATGCCTGTCAAATGAAAATGAATCATTTATTTGTGTTTCAAGAAACTTGCCAACTATACCTGTAAGATCTGATTGTGAGCCATGCTGAATGCCAGGCTGTTATACCACGGGAGATGGCTCTACGACAGACAGTATAGAAGTCAGCTTGCGGGCCTCCCTTCTGCACACAAGCAGGACAGCCAAAATGCCTACCTCCTCTGTCTTGGGGAACAGGTTAACACTGAGTTGATCTCGTCACATCCAGAATAGAGGAAGCACCAATCCCATCTTTACCATAAACGCAGGGCCCTGGGAGTAACCTCAAACAGAGCAGAGAGAAAACCCTGCCCAATGTCTCAGCAGCACACATTCTTATGAAAAAGTGTTTAGAGGCAGCTGGGTTTGTTCTGAATTCCAGCTGAGCTCCTCACACTGAGGCTGAATCTCTGAGCCTGTTTGTTTTACTGTAAACAGGGAGATGATTATCACATTGGCTTATGTTTAAGACTGAATATGTTAACCTGTGTCTAGCCTTTGGCACAGAACAGACATTTAATAAATTCATTTTTCCTAAACATTTCCGATTTGGAAATGAAGGATGCAATCATCATAGCTCATGGGAAAAAAACCAAAAAGCAAAAAACATTCCATCACAGAAATGGCCCAGAAAAGTAGTGGCAAGCATGTCAAGACTTTTGTCAGTCCTAAAATCCTGCCTGTATAAATAAAGGCCGTGTGTTACAGAGAAGTTTCACTGTTGTGCTCAGGAAAAGCCTCTGAGGCCTAAATTTGGACATCTCCCAGCCACTCCCAGCAGGAATGTGAGCTGTACCCTGACCTTGGCTTGGGAGGCCACTGGACTCCATAACCTGGTCTTGATGACAGGTGGGGCTGACCTAAGGCAGGTTCTTCTGACCAGGAGTAAGGGAAGGAGAACAGGAGCCACGGAGGTGTCGCTGGTGGCGGATGGCTCAGCCCGGTCTCAGGGCAAGCAGGCTGCCCACTTCTTCCTGTGCACTAGCTTCTCTTTGTCAGAGCCACGATCGGATGCAGGCTCCTTTTCTCTCTCACTCCCACACTCAGCATCAGTGGCTTTTCTCTCCTTGCCACCAACCCCCAGGCCAGCCCCTCCTCTCTCCACATACACCCAGGGAGACTCCAGTGCTAGCCTCTGACATCTGCTTGAGGCAGCATCTTTACCCACTTGGCACACCTTAGAAGAGGACAGATGCCCCCTGAAAACCACACACAACCCCAGAGGAGAAGCCTTGGACCAACCTTGGAAAAAACTTAGGTATGGAGGGCAATAGTGCAGAACTTCCCGGCACCCAGGGCTGGAAGCCATGTCCTCCTTCACCGAGACAGGGGACATGCCACCCCCCCACCATGGAGGAGCAGGCTGAGAGATAAAACCTCTTAGGAGACGAAAGTGGCACCTCACTCAGTGGCCTCCCCAGGCGGACGCCAGGCACTGCCCACAGCATGGAGGCCAGACTGCTCCAGCTGAGCCATGGATACTCACCGGATTTTAACCTGAGCTCCCCCAGGCATCCGTAGGCATCCGTCAGCTTGCCATACTGTCCTTTAATGACTTCCTTCTCTTCCGGAGCTGGGGGGGAAACACATCAGAGAGACATCAGCAAGTGAGCCGCTCGTTCATTCACACTGGGCTTGCCAATCTGGCTCTCACCCACGCGAAAAAGGAAATGCACAGACAATAGCGCTGCCCACAGACACCATGTGTGCAGGTTTTAGGATCCGAGAATCACAGAGCTGCAAGGATTTAGACCTTCCCACAGAAAACTTGTTCTCTGGAAGCTTCCCAGGGGCTGGGGAAGGTAGGGTGAGCCCCAAGGTGGCTGGCAGTGCTGGGGTACCTTGAGTCTGTCCTGTCATACCATCTCACATTGCATTGTATGGGCTCAGAAACAGGGTGAGGCCCATTATCTGTGTGCAAGGCCTTTCCTTCCTAGGCACCTGCTTCGACTGGGGGGCATCTAAGCACAGGGGCCAGGGTGGCCCAGGGCTGGAGGCTGCAGATCCTGCCCATTGAGTGACTAGCTGAGTTATCAATGCCCAAACAAAGGCCAGCCTGGCTTAGGAGTAAAAGCAAAATGGACAAGGACCCTGCTGGGATGTCACAGGTACCTCTGCTGATCCTGGAGCCAACTATAAACCCTTTCCCAGGATGATGCTTCAAACACATTGAAGCAAAATGCAAACACAGGTGCAGTGTGATAACACGTCACTATGTGAAAGACACAAAGACCCTCAATAAATATCCCATCTATACAATATCCAGCGCAGGCAGACTTAGAGAGACAGAATGCAGGTTTGTGGTCACCAGGGCTGAGAGAGGGAGCGGGAGACCAGGGGATTGCTAATGGAGTCTCTTTTGAGGCGGGACAAAAATATTCTAAAATTAGATTGAGGTGATGTGGCACGACCCCATAAGCATACTTTAAATAAAAACCATGGAACCCTGGGGGCTGGAGAAATGGCTCAGAGGTTAAGAACACTGGTTGTTCTTGCAGAAGACCTGGATTTGAATCCCATCACCCATATGGCAGCTAACAACTGTCAATAACTCCAGTTCCAGGGGATCCAACAGCCTCTTCTGTCCTTGGGCATTGCACGACATGGGTGCCATGGGTGCGCTTACCTACATGCAGGCAATACATGCATACACGTAAAAAAATCAATAAATAAAATATTTTTAAAAAAATATGGAACCCACACATTTTCTGAGATAAGTCGTTTGGTATGTGGATTGTATTTCAATAAAACTGCTATAAAAAAATCAACAAAGAACAAAGGACACCAATCTCACTGGAGTCTAGTTATTCAAATATTTAAGGGCTGGGGTATAGTATATCTCAGTGGTAGGGTATTTGCCTAGAGTGTTCAAGGTCCTGAATTTGACCCCAGCATCATAAAAAATTTTAATATGTAGTAATATACGTGCTTAATTAACAACATTTAAAAATTTTTTTACTTTACATTTATTTTGTGTGTGTGTGTGTGTGTGTGTGTGTGTGTGTGTGTTCATGACACACATGTGGAGGGCAGATGACAGCTCTCTTTCTGCCATTTGAGTCCTGGGGATCAAACTCAGGTCATCAGGCTTGGTAGCAAGCACCTTGACTCACAGAGCTATCTCACCATCCCTAGTAACACCATCTTAAATAACAAAATCTAAGCTGGGTGTGGGGGCTTACACCTATAATCCTAGCACTCAGGACCTGAGGCATGAGGACTACCAAGAATTCATGGTTAACCTCAGCTGCAGAATGAGACCCTGTCTCAAAAAGGCAATAATAATAGTGGTAATGGTGACCCAGCAGGGTCTACTAACCACTTTAATTTCAAATCAGTAAGAAAAATAAATGCCACTTCTTGATTTCATGTAAAGTAGAAATGTCTATCATTTCTATTACTGACAAGGTCAGGGGTCTGGGTAACATGGTGAGTTCTCTCCCTTCCAAACTGGTGGAAATGTGACCTTTGGTTAGGATGGATGAAAATAAAAGTGGGCTTTTCCCTGCCTAAGAGCTCCAGGCCTCCACTGAGAAGCCAGTGCCCAGGCTGGAGTCGCCTCTGTCATCACAGAAATGAGAAAAGAAATCACTGGTTTGTCCTTCCAAGCACCAGGAATCCAGAAATCTCCACAAGGAATTGAGATTCCTGAGTGAAATGTTAAAAAGAGAGATGACAGCAAATGATGCCTCACATGGGCCTCAGGGCAGACAAGCTGGGGATGATCTGGCCCCTCATGACTTCCTGCTCTCTGAAGATGTCCACTTAGGACAGGCAAGTATGGAGAACCTTAAGAAGCACTGTAAGGACTGAGCCTATGTTTATCTGATGCATATTCGGAGGCTCCAATTCAACAGCTCTACCGCCCACATTTTCTAAGACAGATTCCACTTCCTGTCTCTGTCAATTCCTCCCCTAAAGAGCATGTATACCTGTCAGACCACATGTCCTTACAGGTTGGAAACAGTGGCAGAGTCCCCAGGTAGACCAGCAACTCCAGAACCACCTGCTTACAAGCCAGCACACACTGCCCCCCTTCTCTAGTTGACCCTGGGAGGTAGTGGTCAGTCATCAAGTGCCCCTTGGTGGAAACTTCTACCCCTACCAAAGAGGACACAAGGATTCCAGGACTGGAGGCTGTGGGGTAGCAATTGGGGGCTGACCATAGGCCAAAGACAGATCCTCCATCTCTCCAGGTAGGACTGACAAGATGCCATTTGACAAGGAAGGTTGATCATCAGCATGGCTGAGAGAGGCCAATAATATACTATCATACTTGTCAGTTGCAGCAGGCAACAGGGAGACCCAGCCCAGTCCTGCCAGCAGCCTAGAATTCTCCCTTAGGGACTCTGCTCCGACAATGCCAGATCCTTGACTATGACTGCAGGAAAACAGTCAGAGTAAACAAAGTTAGCGAGTCTACTAAGTAGAGATAAAAGAGAACATGTGCCTAAGAGAAGGACATTGGCCGGGGCTTCTCAGGAGGGAGGGTCGCATTTAGGTGTCTTCATGAGGGCTAGAGTCATAATTTGTAGCTTTCTAAGTAATGTTACACATGGTGCAATTTGCAAAAAGGTTTGAAGACTAAACAAGTTTGAAAGTTAAGTACCAAAACACAAGCTGGTTTACTTGTTTCTCATCTTAAAGAATTGCCTTTTGTAAGTGGGCAAAATGGCAAAGTGGGTAGAGGCACTTGCCACAAAGCCCAATGATCTGAGTTGGATCCCTGATCTCTACCCAGGCGTGCGCGCGGCG